GATACAGGTTAGCTTCTAAGGCTTCCTATGGAGCCAATGAAGAAAGTCATGTACCTCCATAAGTTCATACATCCCACCCATCTTATACAGCTGTCTCAGTCTCATGCAGAAGACTGTATATCTCCGTCAATTATAAAGGAAATGTTGACTATTGACTTAGGCTAGACACCTGACTTTTACATGGCTAAAATTTGTTCAGATAAATCTCACTCTGTGGCCACAAAAAGGCATTGTACAATAATGACCCTAAGCTAAAAGCTTATACCTTATACACATTATTGTATTATTCATGAGACCGGTCACACCTCATTAAGGGCTATCAATATCACCACCTGGAAAAAGCATCACAGCTCTCCTAAATTACAAGAGTTTGGTTCAGAAGGATTGGACTGTGATACTGAAAAGACCTCGTATAGCGTTAAATGGCAGTTAAATGAACAAACAATCCCTAAATAGAAAGCTCACCTTCACTCAGTCTTTTTAAAGTATTGTCCTTAGCATAATCTGTAAAGGACAGGGCTAGACCTAGCCACACTGGTGAAGTGTGCCAATACATTCCTACATGACCAGAGGTGTGATAAACCAAATGGCACTAATGCATGCCATGCCATCTGGTTTCCCAGGAGTATGAGTTTTAACTGGTCCCTATTCTCCCTCTAGCTTTATTCAGCAAGCTTTTCAGTTGGTGCCCACACCACAATCTTTCAAAGAATGGAGGTATTTTCCTTAACCATGCTAAGTAATTTCTTAGCATGATTAAAGAATTCCAGAGGGAAAAATTAAAAAAATAAAATAAAATAAAAATTAAAGAGAAGCCTTGCTGGTTTAGGCCTCTAATTCAATGAGAGTTGAGTAGCTAATTTCTGTGCATTACAGACTGTGATGAGAAAGTCCAAGGGCTGGAAACGATGCAATTAGGGTTGTGACACTAAATTGAGAATGTCCTAATTTTAAACAGGATTAATGACAGCTTCACAAATAAATTGTTCTCAGAACCTTTCAGTTTCTGCAGAATGAAAGCTGCTAAAACTCTGTGCCCAGATACAAATCTTATGTTAGAAGTAGCTTAGTTGATTTGTGGAACCTTCCCCAATATACTCAATAGGTGAGTAGAATACAGCAAACAGGTTATCTATAGAGTGGAATCTAAGTGAACTGCCTAAGAAGCTTATTGCTGTCCAGAAAGGTGCTGAAAGAGATATACAGGCTGTAACAAGCAGTCTTATCTCACACCATTCTGGCTTAATGGGCAGCTGCAGATTGGAGAGTGAGCCATGGGACTACATTTGCAAGTGTGTTTACAGATACAATATTGATTTCCTTGCTCACTAAGAGTATTTCTGTACTGCCACTGCTTGCAATAAACAACCCCGCTAGAGCCTACATGGTTGTGAAGCCATAATACATTATTTAACAGGAGCTGATCAATATAAAACAAGCATTCCCTTTGTTACAGGAGTGCTATTGACAGAATGCTTCTCCCTTTTAATTTTTTATTATTTTGCATTGATTGCTGAAGTGCTGTATAGTCTTCAACAACATACACTGAGTCAGGCCTGACCATAAATCTCACTTTTTATATAAAACAAATTGCCCCTTTTTAGCACAGAATTAATTTGGAAGAATATCCAGCATTCTTAGAAATCAATATGAACATAACCATTAACTTCAATAGAAGGAAAATCAAGCCTTTGATAAAATATAAAAATCAGGCCATTTAACCATCTCTGAAATAAAAGGTCAATACCCCCCAAAAAAACCTTCCTATTCCAAAAAAAATTCTTAATTTAAGAGTTCACCTGGAAAGAATGTATGGAAGTTGGATTTCTCAGCTAATAGGAGAGAAAGATCTTTGCATCTGTAATTTCAAAAATAATACTCTCTACTCTGTGTCTCAGATTTGACCTGCAGTTCTACTGTCCTGGTTTCAGCCAGGATAGTTAATTTTCTTCCTACTGCCTGGTATGGTGCTGTGTTTTGGGTTTAAGAGAAGAACAATGTTGATAACACACCAATGTTTTAGTTGTTACAGAGCAGTGTTTGCACTTTTTCAGCTTCTCATGCTGCCCTGCCAGCGAGGAGGCTGGGGGTGCACAAAAAGCTGGAAGAGGATCAGCCAGGACAGCTGACCCCAACTGTACAAAGGGATATTCCATACCACATGACATCATGCTGAACAATAAAACTGGGAGAGCTGGCTGGAGAGGTTGCTGTTGCCTGGGGATTGGCTGGGCTTCAGTCAGTGGACAGTGAGCAATTGCATTGTGCAACACTTCTTTTGTGTATTCTTTTATTATTTTCCTTTTGTTTTCTGTCCTATTAAACTGTCTTTATCTTGACCCATGAGTTTTTTTCTTTTTTTTTTTCCAATTCTTTTCCCCATCCATCCCTTTGAGAGGGATGAGCAAACGGCTGTGTTGTTCTTCACTGCTTGCTGGATCAAACCATATCTACTAATGACATGCCTGTAACATTATTCATATAACAACAACACAGGGTAGGTTACCTGGACTGCCTCACAGATCTAATTCATCCTCTCTTACAAATTTCCATGTGGTTCAGTGGAAGCAGGGATGAAGTAGGGAGAAGAACCTACTTGAAAATTCCACTTCCACTTCTTGGACCTTTACTTATAGGAATACTCTTAACCAGTGAAGTGTTAGGATCTTCATAAGGAAATTCATGGGCATAATTGTCAAAGACCACATTCTAGGCTCATACTCTCACCTGCCATTCATTAACTGTCAATGTGACATTTAGGAAAGCAGATGATTTACCACACAAAGGTCTAAAAATCCTAAATTAATCTGTTGTTTGAGTGCACTTCACTACGATTTTATAAGAGAGAAAGTACAGATTTTCTTTCTAGTCTAAAAGCTTAAACTTTAAACCAACAACTGAATTCTAAAACAAACTTATTCTGATTATTTTGACCTTTCTTATGTCTACTTCAGTAATGTTTTTCAATATTGTTTCAAGTTAGATGATGACTAATGTATCATGCAAAACTGAACATCTTTATGGAGAAAAAGGTGAAGAATGATACATCTGACATTTTGAAGAAACTGATGAAAACATTAAGTAAAATAAATACAAACCATATGAAGGCAAGTCCCAGATATGAAACATGTAGCTTATCTCTTGCTCAGGGAAGATACTTCACTATTCTCTGAAATTTATTTCAAAATATGTAGAATAAATTGAGTGAAGGCATAATTTGCTGGTCAGCAAGGAGATATTCTGAGATGTTGAGATGGAGAATATACAATCAGGGAATTTCAGATTCTTGTTTTTTTTTTAACCATAAAATAACCACTACACACTGCTGAATTTAGAACACTTAGTGGTCTCGGGATGTACTTGTCAAGTCACAGTTAAAGAAATCTTTACAAATTATCAATATCATAGGAGACTATCTAAACAGATTACAAATATTTCCAAATTGTTTAGTAGTATTTGATATTACACCATTCTACTAGCAGACAAAAAAGAGATAAGAAAAGGAGATATTCTCCAGAAACTCAAAGTTTATACCTCATAGCATCAATCACAGTGAAGAGCAGATTGCCAGAGGCATTTCCTTTGTAATCTAGAAGACCATCTGTACAGTGTCATAAAATAATACAGCAAGCAGAAGCTTTCATACTGGTATCTGTGCCTATGTGCATATACACACCTAGTGCAAAAGCTGAGATGACTTCCACCCAGTGTATCGAGGGAAGAAGACATGACTGGTGTTCACTTTCTAAATAATGTTTTATGATATTAGTCAGACAACGTTAAAAACATGTCCCATTTGCCAACCTTGAATGCTCAAAACTGAGCCTGTATGGATTTTCAGGTTGGACACACCAATGTTTTCAGTGTAGGGACAATAATTCCTTAACAGATTGAGGGTTGCTTACAGGGATCCAAGATTTCTCTCACGAGGATATGCAAGAAGTGACAGGGGTATTGATCTATTAGTCTGCTCTCCAACCATACAGAGGCATTCCAGATTAAAGTAGGTTATTGGAAATGTAAATGCTCTGCTTAATGGGGGAGAGATCCTCTGGGGTTTGCATAGAGATTCAAAGAGCACACAAGCTTCAAGGGCTGAATGGTCTTAGGCAGTTTGGATTCTGGTGTGGGAAATTCAGGTTTTCATCTCAGAATCAGAGGACAGACATAAGACTGTACAGCTCTAAAGAGATGCAAAATCACTTCTCAGTAAGGAGAAAGAAGAGTTTACCTGGAATTTGTGAAGCAGAAAGGTGAACCCATATAAAAGCTGATTGCTCCTGTCAGAAACAGGCACTTTGTAAGTGGCTGTACCTGGCAAGAATGAAGGACAGGAGACAGATGGTAAGACAAGCCTCAGGGATGCATAAACTCTGAAAAACTAGCAAAGAAGCACCACAGCATGCTAGAGATATAATTCAAAACTTGTTCCATTTACACCAAATTTGCCATTGCAAGATCCTCTTTCAAGTCATGAACTAGAAAAACCTTCCCCTTTCATGGAGTAAGAAATTATACACATAAGTAAATTATTGATTTATTTATACTATGTTTCAAATCAAAGGAAATAATTCTGTCAGGTTTCTATGCATTTTTTCACTTACTCTGCTTACTGTATGGGGCCGTCCAGTAAGAAGGGCTGTCGATACTACTATATATCTGAAAAGATAAACACTTGACAACTTGGCAACACTTAAGCATTCTTCATCCTTATTCTTTTATGCATCGTAAGGATTTGCTCAGAACACCCACATACATGCACAAACATTGTGTCAATCACACAAAATACACTCCTTTTTCCAACCACAATTTTTCCTTTCCCAACAGTTCCAACTATAATTCACTGGCAGAGCAAAGTCTTGGAATGAGGATCTCATTAATCACTGGACAGAGACAGGCCTTTACTTCTCCTCAGCTCGAAAGGCCAAGGTGGAACTGGCTGCATCTCATTTGTCATAAACCTTCAGTAAATTAATTAGTTTATAGCTGTGTGGAGTGAGACAGGCTGGAGCTTACTGCAGCATTTTTTTTAATATATATTTTAGTCAGGATAGGGGCAGAATTTGTGGTTCTGAAGCTGTGCTTTCACTGCTGAGCAAGTCTGACTTTATGCTGCCTGCAAGAACCGGTACTGTAGTTCAGAAGAGGTCCCTGGGCTCTCAGGCCAAGTAATTAAAGTAACTTGCATAACACCTCACATCAAGAAACTGCATTTTTGCAGCAAGAAAAGGAGTCTTGTTCCATTCACAGTAGAGACTTAGAAAGAAGAAAAATGTCAGTCCCCTGTCCCAGGTTGCCTGCAATCCATTTTACCTTACCTACAACAAGCAAAGGCAGCAAAACAGGAAGAAATAACTGAAAAGTCTTATGTGCAGCTTACCAGAGGATCAGAAAAGACACTGCTTTTTTTGTCTCAGTATGGTGGAAGTGAGCTTTCAGGAAGAGTTTACATAAGGATTGGTTAACGGCCCCTGAACAGCAGAGCTCTCTTATAAGCTATCTCACAGTTCCTCACTCTGCCAAACACACAGGCTACCACCCATGGAGGGATTGTGCCTGAGGCTTGCTCTTTTGTTCCACAATTGCTTGGTTCATGTAGATGCCTGGATATGTTACAAAAGCTGTAAAGTTTGTGCAAGTTGCTCCCCTCCCTCTACCCCATCTTAGTCTTGCTCCCTAAGATGGGGGCACACCAATGACACTCTCCAAATGGAACTAGCCACACCATGCACAGCCTATCAAGTCCAGCGAGGATCAGCAATGGACTCCAGAGGACAAAGACTCTCTCAGGATGCCAGGTTAGAGTCAAGAAAAACACAATCATTAAATCACTTATTTATAAAAAGTGGGAGAATCCTCAGTAAAACAAATACTGTATTGCAAGCAAATTGGGACTGCTCTGCAAAGAATTAAAAAACATATCATTCTTCCCCCAGGATATTTCTTGGAAGATGAAGATATGGGTTGGGTTCTCCATTGGCAGAGGTGAGCCTTTTTCCACCCACCCTGTGGGCAAGTTCCCCAGCCACTGAGTTACTTGGCTATAAGACGGACTGCATCACCTGCTAATTGTATGAATGGTGTGCAAGTCTGGTATTTATCTAGCTTTGCTTTTAATGGAAATGTGGAAGTGTAAAATTAAAATGTTTTGTTTATAGAAGGAAAAAAATATACATTTTTTTCCTCAGTTTGCTCTCCCCTCCCCCTTTTCCCCCTCAAGATTTTTTTTTTTAAAACAAATTATATTTCTTGTTACAGAAGCAAGAATGTTCATTTAGATTCAGCTCAAGCCAAGTTCATTTTCATTTTTTAAAGATCATCTACATTTAAAAGGGTAAAGTATACTGTACTTTAAATTAATCCCTATTCCATTCCTTTCTGTTCTAGGCTACAAGGCTTAATAAATTAAGAAACTGAGAATTTTACTGACATCCTTAAATTTCCAGGCTGTTAAAAATAATGTACTTTAACTGTGATGAGAAAGCTTTGTCTTATGTATTTGCTCTCCATATCTAAGATACAAGATATTTTTATATTTCAAATTTTAAAAACTTACACTCTCTTCCAAATTAATCGGGTCTGCTCCCCTCCCATTTCATTCCTCAAGCTCAAGAATGGCAGGGTTCTGCTTACTACATAAAACATTTGATAGTTTGGAAGAATAAATAAAAAAATATTTTTTTTTTCTTCTCTTGGTGAAGCTTACAGATGAACAGACCATTTTAAAATTTCAACAACAGCACTTAGCCAAGAATGCAGAGATTGATAGTTTCTCAAAAAAATTAAGAGTATTTTAGGACATATTTGGTTAACAAAATATCTCAGGTTTCCCACCCAGCCTCAACAGTTGGCTTTTGCTGTACTAACCACTGCTGTTAAATTATATAGTACACACTACACTTATGATGGACATGGACAATTGGTTATAGCGGACAAAAACAGAACTCCCAAACCAAACATATTAAGTTCAAGACATTCCTCTCTGGTTATAACAGACAAACCTAGGCCACAATGCCAATTTTTGGGCTTTTTCTGAACCCTGTAAGTGGACTGAATAGAAATGGGAACTAGTGAGGAAAGTTACAGGAATACTATGTTTTTAAAATAGATTGTGCCTTAAACCAGAGACTGATCAGGATGGTAAATGAGGTTATGCCAGAGTAGCACTTTCTGCCAGCTTGCTTGACCACTGCATAGCAGATGAAGGCAGAATTTTCTATAATCTGTCCATTTCTGTTCTAAGAAAGCCAAATTCAGTGGATACAGTACTGTGGAGGTGTAAAGGACTGTGAGTTACAGCCCCTTTGCAGGGCTGCATTTGAACAAGAACCTTGATTTTATTCTTGATGCTGTCTGGGATTCAAGACTTTCAAGGAACATCAAGTCTTGGCTTCTTCAAGTATAAACAAGTGTCTACTACCTTTGGTAATGCAAACAACTAGAATTTACAGATAGCATTTTGTCCTATATGTCCTACATGTGCCAAATAGAGAAATGAACATCCTAAGACAGCACAAAGTACCTTGGAAATTCTTTGGTCTTGGAAAAGTATGTCCCAACAAACTTTTTTGGAAGGAAGGAAGGGAGGAAGGGCTTTTTTTCAGAGATATTTCAGGTGAAATATCTGTGATCTACTGTAGTCTTGTGTTGCACAATATACATTTGAAAACACTAGGGAGTCTGTGCAGTGATTTTCCAGTCAGTGGAGTTCGGTTTCCATCCACATGTCTCTTCCCATCTTAGCATTCAATAAGCATTCCACAATACTTTGTGACTGTCTAAACCCCACAATACTTCGTGATTGTTTCACTTCAACAAGAAGATGCCTCAAGTCCATTCATTTTTGGAGAAAGATTGCTATGGCAAGTCCTGTGAGAAGAAAGCATATAAAGTACATATATTGACAAATGCACTTGTTTTATGGAGTTATAATTAAAAGCATTTGCAAGATGCATTCTTATTTATTGTGTTTTCCCAAAATGCAGAAAATATTTCTAATTAAGTTAATTCATTAAGAGAGCTTGGGATTTTAATCTCTTCATTTTTACCAAGGTTCAATGTTTTAAGATCTATTTATCAGTTATAACTAGATGCTACCTTTACTGAGTGCTACTGCACAGAATTTGATAGACAGGGTGAAGTACCATCACTCTGCATTGAAACAAGCATCTATGCACATGGCATCAAGTAACCACTGGTCTTTCTCTTTACTGACTAAATAACAACCCAAAAATAAGATATAGATTTGTAGAAAATGTATCATTTTCCTAGAGAGTATCTAAAATTATTTGGGGTGCATGCTGTTTGTTTAGTCCTATCTATCTTCTTTTGATTTCCTTGGTTAAAGGTACTATACTCAATGGAAAAAAAAAAATAAGAAAAAAAGGGAAAAAAAGTGCACTAAGATTACATTTGGCATTTTGAATGCAACAAAAGGTACCTATAGGGATTTTTATTGTACAGTCAAGTAAACTCCAGCTGCCAGCCCTGTGATCAGTTCTTCAATAGGCAAAGAGGACTCAGCTTTAACCTGGCCATATGCTGGTTCCCACCAGTATAATAACATATTTTCTTCCTTACAAAATGTATTTATAATTATTCTTTGGCTTTCAAGGAAAATTTTGAAATAAAAATGTAACTAGACTTCCTAAGTGAGTGTCTTTTTTTTTTCATAAATAGAAAAATATGTATATCTGTTTTGATTAGAGCCAAATTAAATCCTTTTCCCTGACATGAAAACTCCTGCAAGATGACTTGCAAAGTCTTGTGTTTTTATTGGCATTCTCCTATTATGCTCACATTAAAGAGCCCAAAATATGCTAAATATGACCCTCCACCTGGAGATAGAGTAACTGCTGTATACGTGTAGTCTGAGAAAATGCATCGCTGAAACTTTGATCACATTTAAACGTGTCAGTAAGGGGAAAAATTTTGCCCTTCTTCTGAAGTGAATGGGAGTTTTGTCATTGACTTCAGTTGGACCAAGATTTCAATAGCTGTCTCTTGATATGAGTTTCTAGATTTATTGTGTATCTTTGTTCAAGATCCACACTTCACAGGAATAATATGCATAACTGAGCACTAAAGTTGATTTAAAACTTTGGCTGACATTTTCCTGAAAAATGAATATTCCCTTTTAAATTTTCTGAATAGGAAAAAAGAAGAAATCAAACAAACTTCATTTTCAAAACTGTTTCAGTCTTACTTGAAATGTCTTCATTTCACGTCTGATTATGTGGGTTTCTCTGCCTTCTTTTCTCCTTATTAGTTTCTGTCTTTCCAGTCTTCTGGAAATACACAGAAGAAAAATAAAGAAAAAAAAAAAAAAAGAATCAAAAAGGGAGAAATGTGGGGTAAAAAAAAAAAAAAAAAAAAAAAAAAAAAAAAGAATTACAGTTATTTTGGAGGAGACAGATGTGGGGGGCAGCTTCAAAGCTACTTTTTTTTTTTTTTTTCCAGAATACTTTGCTATGCTGTTCTCAAAAGAAAATACAATATTCTGAAAGTTAATTGCACACTCTATGTTGTTGGTTTTTTCCTCTTTTGAAATTATCTTATTCATTTCAGAGCTGCTAACTGATTTTTCAGGAACTTATAAAAAATGCTAGTCTAGTATGCCCTATCATGTAGATGGGCAAAATACAGAAGACAATGACAGTAGCAAAGTCCATGCAACAGTAAGCAGCATGTGGCTTTTATATTAAGTGACAAAACATGAGCCTATTTCAAAAAAAAAATTTTCAAAAAAAAAAAAAAGTTACTTATTGTGGAGTTACAGCAAACCGAAATATCAATGACCATTCAGTGAATAATTTATGTTCAGCAAAACACTTATCCAGGTGAATAAATACTTCACTTTTTGTTCTGACCTCATCCAGGTAACCAGTCTGCTCTTTCAGCCTTGTCCAAGTTCATCCACTTTAAGACACTAAAAAATTGATTAAATATATTTGTCATATTTTTATCATCAATCAATAGTCTATGAGTGTATATGAAAATCCATTTTCTGGGTATCTGAAATTTCCATCTATACGCTCTTGTGTAAAGAGCTATTTAACTGACAAGGTCAAAGCATTGAACATGCATATGTTAACACATTTTTTTGACATAATTATTTTTATTAACAGATCGATGCAAGTTTCTCAAACACCATAAAGTAATTCTACTCTATCTTGCTGGAAAGTTCATGAGGTAAACTTTCTTAGCTATTTTTTCTCCTTAACCATAACATTCTAGTCTCTTTATAATATGTTGAAAAATTTTAATTTAAAATTTTAATTCATCAGGTACCAATGATGAAAAGAAATACAAAGAGCAATATTGCATAAACAACAACAAAGACCTATACAAAATTGCACTGTGGGTATATGAAGTTACCTATTTTCATCTTCATTGGCAGGTTGCCAACAGAAATTTGTAAAATAAATTTTTAATAAATGTATGTATGAAGGATTTTCTAAGATAAAAATTGCTTTAATTTTATCTAATACAAATTTAATCCAGTCAGATGGATAGTTGTTCCCTGTACACATTCAAGTAATGAGCAGAGCACACTTCAATTTCCCACACTTCATTATTCATGTCATACATTATCAGTATGACATAGAATGAGATACTGTTTGATATAGTGGAACAGAAAGTTTACCACCAACCCTACCAAAGTCCTGGCACAAAGTATTTTGATAATTTAACAAAGTTTATGAAAAAGTCATCAATAAGAATAGCACAAGAAAATGTTTGAAGAATTTGAGTTTGATATCCGTACCCAAGGATAAAGGATATCCTGTGTGGCAAAGAGGTAAGGGTACTCTTGAAAACCCTTTCATTTGGCAAATCTGTTGAACACCTGAAAACACCTGCCTACCTGTAGAGGATTCAGTACATCCATGGCTTTTCTCTCTTCCCTCCCAAGCTTCATCTAGCTTCTGCTACAGTAGGCTTTTAAGAGCACTTGGAATTACTAGCTTTATCTACCTGCATAACCTTCTCCCAAGTGGATAAAAGAGCCGTCACAGTTCCACAGTTCCTGTGACACAAGCTGTTTGCAAGGAGATCATAATATATCATCAGAATCTATTACAAAATCCAGTACAGAATCTGTGCTGTATTATGGGCTAGCCATTTCAAACCTTGCTACAAGCATTTACTTCCCTACCATTCCTCAACACAGCAGACTCTTCTTTCCTTTATGCTTATTTATTGGCAACTCACTATGAAAACATTGAACTATTTCTTATTTTTTTTATACTTAATTACCTCTTAAAATTGTGAGATCCCATTAAATATTGTTCCGGTTATTCACCCACTCATCCTGCTGTTTGTAACGCTAAGGACAACGCTACCAAGCAGATATTTGGAGTGGTGTTTTTACAACCTGGAATTTTTGATATATCACAGACCCTTAAGATACTACACCATACTTCAAAAGGACCATAGCAATCTAAATCTTTAAGCAAGTTGTATTTAATACCTATCTCCTTAGATCCCCTTTCCCATCTAGAACTGAATTCCTTTCTTTGGACTTTAGAAATACTTCCTTAACATAAATTCCTTCCCTATCATTTATAGGCTGAACTTTGAAACAATGACTGAAATGAAAGTTAGAGTCATATGTTGTGGTAATTCAACTCAAAACCATTAAATAAAAAAGGTTTATAAATGATTATATAATGAACCACATAACATTGATACTGAAGAACAAATCAGAATGGAAGTGAACATGTGACATGTGGGCAGCTGTGTACACTAATATGTTAGCACGTTCCAAAGGCTAGAAAATATCCCCCCCCCCCAAAAAAAAAAAAAAATCCCCCTAAGATTCAAAACTTAAGTGAACTAAATATTTTTATGTTTTTCATGATTTATTAATATAAATACTTAGCAATACTTAAAATACATAAATTTAAGTAACCAAATAAAGTAAGTATTCATTCTGCCTGGGCACTTTCAGGGAAAAAATAAAATAAAAAAATCTCTTTAGATCATCCAAGTCTTTAAGCACCAAAAACACTTATGAAAAATAAATTATCCTGAGTTTGAATATCCAGAAGTAACACAGTAAAATCTATTATACAGTTCAGCCACTAGATAGATGAGATAGATATCTTACTGGTGGAGGTCTGCATGAGCATGAATGTATTGTTCAATATTTTACTATTTAGAGTTCTTTTGCTTTTAATGAAGCTGGAAAAATTTAACAAAATAGTTAATCTTCGGTAGAGGAAAATTGTGTGTTAGATCACTTATTTGTGGTATTCTTGCTACAGAAGTAAGGATTACTTATCCTTCCATAACTTGCAGATTTTATAACTTCTTTTTTTTTTTTTGCAGGCCAATTCCAGCAAAAGCACCAAAATGTAAAAAATAATAATTTCATTTTTGTTCAATGCAGGCTGTTCAGATATCAATATCATTTCCCACCCTTCATGCCTGTTTGCTTCCTTAGAGGTGAGAAGAGAAAGCAGTCTTTCTACAAAAAGGGCACAAAACCTTCACTCTTGTGTCACTTGAGCATTCCAAGTCAGTGCAGTAAACCACAGCACATTTGGCAGGAATCTACCATTTTACTGACTGGAGTAACAATCTCTCTATTTCTGAACTTCCTGGAATCGCATGCTGATTTCCAGACAAAATGGTTTCTGCACAGGTATACTTCTCAGTGTAATTAACATGTTATGAAAAAATGCATTATGCCCTCTGCTTTCCAACAGCTCAGTAGTGTCAGGGTTGCACACAACTTCACCAGGGCTCCCAGCATCTCTGAGATGACTAGGAGAGGGCCAGTGCTTAAATGGCTGGGGACAGAGCCAGTCATCTTGCTACAATACAGATTCACCAAGGATGGGAATAACGTCTCTGAATACCACCTGAAATCACAGGACAGGGTGAAGGGAGCTGGCATCAAGACAGCTAGTGCACTCCCACTGCACTCACAATGGTGTACATGCTAACAAGGGACCTCTAATAGCATAGCTGTGCTAACACCTTTATCTAGGCTACGTACCAAGAAGCACTCTTCTAGTGCCACATTAATGTCCTACTGCTCCTGGTTTATGTGGTAACTCAGCCCACAGTAGATGACAGCTGTTTACATGTGCTTCCAAGTGAGGATCAGACAAGTCCCAAGTAGTGATATTTGGAGAATTTATTTCCCTCTAGCCTCTGCTTAAAACAATACTTAGACCAAAGAAGACACTTTCAAAGAGATTTGTTAGTTATCACCCGTGCTCAGTAATGTTAAGGAACCACTACAAACCTCTCCTCTGTACTTATGAAATCCTAATTTTTTAAAACCGTATGATGACAATACCTGGGATCTAGATACATTAAACAAAAACAAATATACATCTCTCTGAAATAAATACTGAGCATTCAGTTTCACATCTGCAACTCTGCAATTCATGGAGCCACTTTGGGTAACAGAAAACTGGGGAAGTTTTCCTTTCCCTTCTTTTTTTCTATCCTTGTCTTAGATGTGAAATCAGTGCTTACATTGCAGCAAAATTCAGTCATTCTGCTTGGAGTGCCTTAGAAAATACAACTGATCCACAAATACAGCTTGTATAATCTCTGCATGTGACGTCTGAAATTGGGGAAAATAATGGAAAAATAAGGAAGATTGTCTTAAATCCAAAACAATTGACTGTTGTTTTTGTTGTTGTTAGTGGTTGGTTTGTGTTTGTTATTGTTGTTTGTTTTTGGGTTTGTGTTTTTTTTTTTTCTTTATTAAAATCTCTGCCAGACTTATTCAGGTAAGTAGGACCAAGCCTTTCCCTTTATTATAATATTTGCCACATAAAACTAAAATGTTTTAATGTACTCATTATTTCAGTGTAACCAATGACCCCTCTTTTAAAAGCTGCTCTAGATAAAGACAAGATTTATACAGATTTTATATTAGGTTGTATTGTCAATGTTTGATCCTTCAAGCCTTCAAAAATCTTATAGCATTATACATGCATTGACATACACAAAGTATTCAAGATTTTTCAGTAGACTCAAAGATTCAAAACAAATGCAAGAAATATAATGAAGGCTTCTAAATTTCATAATATGATTAAAATATCCTACAATTTTAAATACAGGCACATTAACATGGGTGGAGGGGGAGGGAGCGTGGTTTTACTTATCTCCAGCATTTCACCCATGTTACTTATCTCAGATGATGACCTCTTCTCAAAAATAGTCTTGTTAGGCCAGAAAAGATCATTTCCATTATTTGTGTAGTTGATCCCTGTCCCCACAAGAGCTCTGATCTTTGATGAAATCTGTAATAGTAGAAAAGCAGCTTATGGAAGTAATTCATGTTACTGACAGTTCTCACTGCCTCAGATTAACCAATCACTAATCTATTTTAAACAGTTATTTCTAATTTTATAATTCGTTCTTTTTGCCTTTGATAATGATATTATTTTCTCTGTGTAGAGAAATAATAAACAAGTATTTTATGGGTCATTATATGAAAATTATCCTCAGTATGCTATATTTTTTCACCTCACATGTTTTTATTGGAAATTATTTCAACCAGTATTAATGATTAGTTACATTAACTGGTACTTTGTTTCAAGACCATAGAATCATAGAATCACAGAGGCTGGAAAAAAATCTCTAAGATCAACAAGTCCAACTGTTAAACCATTACATGACACATTCAAGCGCCATCTAAATTCTTTCCAAGCTATTCATAAAACAAGTAAAATTGAGATTAAATTTAATTTGAACCTCAGCCACGTCAGAATATCACATACTTATCACATATCACATATTTATCTGATGTCAAACACACGTTTTCCTTTCATCTCCAAAAACAGACACTCCTGTTGAAATTATCATCTAAATTATCAGCAGCATATTATATCATATCAAGTAATGCTAAAGTTGTTTATATATGCAAATGTTTTTCCTAACGTCTTTAAAGGCCTATAAATAATCCAGTTCCAGAATCCTGAGGGAACTGGCTGAGATAGTTGCCAAGCCTCTCTCCATCATATTTGAAAAGTTATGATGGTCAGGCAAAGTCCCCAGTGTCTAGAAAAAGGGAAACACCATTGCTGTTTTTAAAAAGGGTAGAAAGGAGGACCTGGGGAACTACAGACCGGTGACCCTCACCACTGTGCCTGGGAAGATCATGGAACAGATCCTCCTGGAAGCAATGCCAAGGCACATTTAGGACAACGAGGTGATCTGAGGCAGCCAGCATGGCTTCAGCAACTTTAAATTGTGCCTGACCTGTCTGGTCACCTTCTATAGTGGAGTGACTACATCAGGTGATAAGGGAAGACTAACAGATGCCATCTACCTGGACTTCTACAAGACCTTTGACACAGTCCCACATGACATCTTGATCTCCAAACTGAAGACAGAGATTTGAAGGGTGGACCATTCAGTGGACAAGGAATTGTTTGATGGCTCTACCCAGAGAGTTGTGGTCAACTGCTCTATGTCCAGGTGGAGGTCAGTGTCCCTCAGGGGTCTGCCTTGGGACCAGTACTATTGAGTATATTTTATCAACAGTATAGACAATGGGATTAAGTGCTTCCTCTGCAAGCTTGCAGACGACACCAAGCTGAGTGGTACGGTCATAACAGAAGGAAGAGATGCCATCCAAAGGGAGCTGGACAAGCTTGAGAAGTGGCCCATGTGAACTTAATAAGGTTCAACAAGTCCAAGTGCAAGGCACTGCACCTGGATCAGGATGATCCCAGATATAAGCACAGACTGAGAAAAGAACTCACAAAGAGCAGCCCTGCAGAGAAGGACTTGTGGGTTCTTTTGGGTGAAAAGCTTGACATGAACCAGTAGTGTGTGCTAGCAGCCCAGAAAGCCACGTTAAGAGAGGTGTAGCCAGCAGGTCAAAGGAGGTGATTGACCCCCGATTAGTTTTATTTTTTGTTGTTGTTTATTTGTTTGTTTTTGGCATAAGTTCACAACGAAATGCAAAATCTTTGTTATTATAGAAATGATCCTTGCATGCAAGCAAGCCATTCCTGGTCTTACTGTGGCCAGTTCTCAGGCTTTAAACCTTAACCTCATTTGAGGATACAAGGAATTCCTAGATGAGATTTACAGCCACATCTGAAATCTCCATCCAAGTCTTATCCTACGACTGGAAAAAACTAATTTTTCTGCCTTGCACAATCATAGCCCTGCCACAATCTCCTTGGCACCTTAGACCACAATAGTAGCAACCAATAGTGAAGTTTCATGCAGACAGATGTCCTGCTTTATTTATGGATTAAATTTATTTATAGTCTTTTGTACCTGGAGAAGTATCTGCAGAGAGATGAGAAGTATTTGCTGAGAAGGCCTCTACCTAAAAACAGCTGGGATGAGTTTGCTTGAAAATACATTTCAAAGCTTTGCCCAGATTGACTGCAGTAAAATATATCAGCACTCAGGTACAGCCACCACTTTCAGAATGATGGATGAAAAGTTCAGAAAATGTTTTTTTTTTCATCATATTACCCAACCTGGGTTGCAGAGTCCTGGGACAGTATCTTGTCCGCACAAAGAAAGTAAGCATGAAGACATTGTGACTTAAACCAAATGAGCACCTCAACGTATAGCAAAAACAACAAAGAACTTTTTTCTTTGTGTTTCGTAACTGATATATTTTAAAACTTATTTTAACTGTGGAAGCAGATTTAAATTAAATTTATATTGCTTAATGTTGCTCCACAAAGCTTTGACTGACCTAGGCTTCTCTTTCTTAGGCAGGAGATTATGCCCTGTTATGAGAGAAGAACATTATAAGGGATAAATACAAGAAATGAACCACAGCATAAATTCTACTTCAAAAGACGTGTCACTTTGGTTTCCTATTATATTTTATCATTCTTTTGCCTAAATCATAAGATTTATATGCCATGCAACAAATTAACTTCAGCAATATTTTGGATGCTATATCTATCCCAGAAAAGGGTGAGGAAATAAATCAGACACCCCAGATTTATATATTCTGGTCTTACCATTCAACCTTCTCTGGATTCCCCTAAAATCTATGCATGCAAGCCCCAAAGAAATATGAATTTCAGCTCCTTACAAGTACAGCTCCTCCTTTCCAACACACTAGTTCCTCCCATCCCCGCTAAACTGTCTTTTTGTTCAGCTTCCACCTTTCAGCCCTGTTCAGATTACAAGATTGTGTTTTCTTCAACTCATTGGTGATTTTGTTTTGGATACGAATTTTACTCTCTTTCTTCTTCATTAAACCATAAAGAAAAGTGCAAGAAACACGATACAGAAGTAAATCCAACACAGAGATATTCTGTAGCCATATTCTAGCCCAAAGTAAAAAAAAAAAAAAAAAAAAAAAAAAGATAGAGATTGGCAGGATTTAGGAAGTTAAATCCAAATCTGTTGCCTTCAAAATCTGTAAGCAACTCTTCACTAATGGTCTTAAATCTTAATCTCTTAAATCACCTGAAACTCTTTTGACACCGAAGGAAACATAAAGGAATGACCTTTAGGGCTATGCTTTGAAAAATAGGGGCACAACTATACCTCCACCTACTAAAGTAGGTCAACTGCCCTTTCACAGTGTTGTCCAGAGTTAGAAAAGCAAGAATCTCATCCTAGGATTTATCCAGACAGTCCAGCCCTGACCAAAAATGTCTCTGAGGCCGCTTCCTAAGCTGTTAGAAAGGGCATCACTGGAATTTCTTAGACTGCAGCCAGAATATATCTCACCAGGCACTCCAATAAATTATATTAGGCTTTTGTTTCTCCACTCCCTATCACAAATTCTATTTTAATTGGTACATTTTGACTTTGCTGAACACTTGAAGACAGCATTGCTCTGCAATCCCTAGAGCACCAGGCAAAACAAACAGAATTTCAAACTTCTCAGCATTCCTACAACATCACACTGCTATAACAGCATCAGTTTATCTTCTTATTTGGAAGATTTTCTCAAGTCATTAGGATTGAGATCAGGGGGCACACTTATGCTCAGCAAGATTTATTCACTGGCAAATTCTGCATACGTGCAAATTACCCAATCCCCCCCCCCCCCCCCCCCCCCGAATTACAATCATCTGTTAATAGCTCAGGGACATATGATTTAGTTTACATCTTTTGACTGAAGAGATTATTAACATGGTGAAAGGAAGAGCATAAGGGATTTTATTAGTGGAGCCAGGGTTTCCAGACGAGATAAATAGAGAAGATACCAGTAAGAGATATAAGAGCTTGGATTATTAACAGTGGTACTAGTATGACTTGATAGTATTGATATTAAACCAACCAATCACCTTCAGAAACTTTATTATATCTGTCTTCAAGTTCATCACTTATTTTCTTCACTCTGTCCTCAAATAGCCTTCAATACACAACTGTTTTCTTATATTCCAGTTCTTGGGTGTAATGATTGTTTTTTCCTCTTGTATTTGGAAAAGTGCTCAGGCCCTTCTAGATGTAGTCACAACATAGTTTTTATCCAGACTGCTGGAATGCCCACTCAGTGTGTTAGCTGCATGGCTACATGTTCAATCACCTCTTGTTCTCTTCCAGGGATTGTCCCATATTTCCTGAAGTTTGTTGCCAGCGGCAGGGGAGCATCTATACAATCAGATATGCAGTTTCAGAAAAGCAGATTGTTTTCCCCTAGTTTTTCTAGGAAAATTAGATAACATTTTTAATGAACTCACTAAAACAGGCAAGCTACACAGAATCTACCAGCAATAAGGCTGTGTGCATTATGCAGCAAGACATGATGCAAACGCAAGTATAATAAACACTGCTAGAGAGGGCTGCCTGGTGAACTTGTGGTGCAGCTGCTAGCCAAGTGACCCTAATCTCAGAGCAATCACAGAGTTCAGAAAGCTGAGTTCATAACAGTTATGTGTTCAGAGTTGGGGAGACAGAATCAGAAAAACAAATATTTCTTCTCATTTTTAACATGTGGGATTTAAAGTACAAGACCTGGTTTTAAATATCGGACCAGGTTCTTTCTCTCCCTTTTGCTTCATCTTCTTCAAGTTGGTATAAATGTTACTCTACAGAGGTGAAATAAAATTCCAGATGACTTCCATGAAAAGATCTGTTGAATAAAACACATCAAAAATCTGGTTTCCTGAGCAGTCTTTTCCTTAAATTTTCCTGCTGTAAAGGAATGGAGAATGTTACTCACTTGGCTGTATGAAGCTCCTTAAGAATTCCAACAGTAAGACAAGAAATTAATTCAGTGACAAGTTCTGGCATTAATGCAGAATATCTACACCTCTAATTAAAGCAAAATTACTCCATTTTTAGTACAGTATATGTGACTTAATTATATTCCTTGCCAACTAAAAGGTACATAGCTAGTAAGAAATAACTCACAATTAAAGTCTGCATTTCCAAGGAGAGATTTGTAGACAATTTGTTAGAAAGTGAAACAAACATTTCCCATATTAATAGGTCTTTTCTCTAAATGCATGTATGTGAAAGTTTTGTACACTCCAGAGACAGGGAAAAATCATACTGATATCCTTACCAACTTATTTAGTTAAAATACTTTTATACAAAAGATATATATTAAGAATTATTAAGGATAATCTAAAAAATTAAGTAATTGAATAGTTTACACCTCTCTCACTATCCGGACAGTAAAATAGTCACCAAGAATCCACTTCCACGCAGAGCAATAAAACTGTATTTTTAGAGTAATCTCTGCTAACAAGGCTATATAAGTAGACCCACCGCTAGCTTTACTGTATCATTGGGATTTTTATATACCTTCCTATATAATGCAAAAATTAATACAATGACAACATACTGTGTGTACAGAAAGTGACCTATCCAATTGTTCAATAGTCAACTAAAATTATTATTTCTAAGACATAAAGCAAAAATCACAAAGAACGTGTTTAGCCTGAATTATTCATAGACCTTGGTCAGGCTTCATTTCTGCATATGGCACCTTTATTTCCTACCCCAGGGAACTCTGTTTTTCTTTTTTGTTTGTTTGTTTTGTGTTGGTTTTGTGTTTTTGTTGCTGTTGTTTGTTGGTGTTTTGTTTTTTTTCTTTTGGCACGTCAGCTAAACTGACATAATCCAAATTCACATCAAAAGTTCACAAGATTCACCTACAGAAAATAAATAAGCACTGCTATCATGGCCCTTGTAGCACCACTTGCACATACCCATATGATAGCAATAGGAAGTTATAACCATAGCTTTCTAGAACTACATAAAACAGCACTTACCAGTGCTTTCCATTTGGGGCTCCCAATGAGGTTTACAGGGATGTAACAGAATCTTTACAATCGTATTTGTAACTGAAACAAATAGAAGCACAACAAAGTCTTCATCTACCCTTCTCTGTACTGAAGAGAGAAAAATAACAAACCTCAATTTTATTTGTTTTTTAAGGCTACTTAAAATTAGAGATTACATGGATCACCAAATACTTTTAGAATCATATTATAAAGCTTTATGGTATTGAAAGAATACAACAAATTATATTCTTTAAAGAAGGAAAGAGTTCTACCTGTTTTCACGTATTCTGATTTTAAATCTTTTTATTCTCAGCTTGGAACAGAAAACCTTTTGTTATTCTCAGCTAGGCCCAGCCCCACAAACATTTCAGCTCTGCCTTCATCAGATGCAGATCACACCAGCATTTATCGCCACTAATCACCACTCCCTCTGGCACTGACATTATCCTGGGGAGTTTCCTATTCACCTGACATCAATTACCCTAGACCCTGCTGATACTTAATTCATATCATCATACTTAATTAATCATTAACCCCTTCACTGCAGTCATGGCTCCATCATTTGTGTTCACACCATCTGCAAAATATTAAGGGCATTTAACTATATATTTGTTGTGAGCTCTTCCTCCAGAGTATGAAGTATATAGGAAGTATGAAGTGTACATGGCTATACACTTTAGCCATGTTTCAGAAGAGTATCATATAAATATGTTAAAGAAATAATGTTCCTGATCCATAAACAGCAATTGCATGTCTGCCCTTCAGTTTTCTTTAGAGCCATTTCATAAAATTGTGTTTTTCACAAGGATATCAGAAGTCCTGCCTGATCACTTAATCATGACTTAATCTGTCATGAATCAAAATGTTCATGACAATTAACAGAGCCCATTGAGGAACACCGTGTTTCAAAAATATTTAAATAAATAAAAAAGGTTAAACAGATATAAAGGAAAAGACCAAGTTAACTGTTTTCAGCTCACTCTAGAAATCTGCTGATCATGATATTGATAGAGCTTGGTGTCTAAAATATCTGAACAAATACATGAGGTGAATCCACAGCAAGCTATGCATCTCTGAGAATATTTTCTATTCATAGGTGATATGGTAAAGAGGGATAGTCTTTTTTATGTAGAGCCTAGAATTCTATTGAGCTTTAAAAGTCCACTTACTCAGACTAATATTCCATCTTTTCTTTTCATGGGAGACATATAGCAAAAAAAAAAAAAATACTACTGTGTGTGGAGTCTTCAATGTAGGACTCTAAGCATACTATAACAGTTGCAGCGAGGCTGAGGAATAAAACAAGTACTGAGGATGGGTCATTTCAGGGAGCAACCCCCTACGCAGAATGTGCACAAGTAATCCACTCCTGTCAGTGGACAAGGATTATCAAAAAAGGATTATTAGAATTAAATCCTGTGGTTGTTTATCATATCTCATAACCTCTTTTTATGTTTTTCTTTTAATGTTAAGTTTGAAATGAAGGTCTATGAAATTACATTTATCTGAAGCAAAAGAGACAAGGAATTAATACAGATATATTAGTGGATCTCAGGTTAACAGCAAATCTGAAGGTTCATATTCTTCGCTTAAACCATTGAAAGACAAATAGCACACCACTGATGAGATGTTTCTGAGGTCTTTGCATTCTGCTTTTATTTTGTTTTGCTTTTAGATTAACAGAAAAGAAATATTTAAAGAGCTGAGTATCTAACAAATCTCATTTCACAAGCATCAAGAAAGAGGTTAATGAGGTTTCAAAATACGGTTAAGTGGTACCACTATCACAGGAGCTGTGAATGTTTGTAAAAGATGCACATGAAAGAAGACCCATTTTAATAGTATGGAAGATTCTTGCTTTCATTTCTTCTTCTAGCGTGGTAATGTCAGAGAGATTTTTAATTTTTTATTAGAGGTGCAAGGTAAAATAGAACAAAGCCAAATTTACTTGTCTCGTATCTCCACTGATCAAGTTGCAGAGATCAATTAATTAAAAAAAATAAAAAAAAATAACTTTTCTTAATATGTATTTCTCTTAGAAATATCTCTAGCAAATACATCAAAGTTATACATCATTCTATGCCAGACTGAAATCAAACAGTTCTACCTTGTGGCCAGGCATAATACAATCATATCTATAGATCAATGCCTATTACTTCACTTTGAAAACAAAATAAAACAAAAAATAAACAAGCATTCTATTCACTCCAGTCTCCTAGAACAAAGAGCACCAGTCTTTACATTATTACAAAGACCTGTAGATCCACATGGTAGATCAGAATATTACTGATGGAAGATCACCTCTCCCGGTTACAGTCACGAGTGCTATGTTTACTTCAGCAAACTATGTTTTACTTTAAGTAAGTAAAGAACTTTACTAGCATTTCCAAGGAAAAGTGCATTATTGAAGGAATAGACAGAGCTGGTTTATTTCTAGCAGTTGGAAAGAGTTCAAACTCAGCCAGTTGAGAGAAAATTTCTTCAGCTAAATGTTTTTTGTTGAAATTTTCCTAAAGAATTTAGCCTGAGGCAGACAGCGAATATGGAAAATTTCAGTCCAAGCAGCTGAAGTATGATGAAAGTATTAGTAATTGAAAATGGGATTTTACCATGAGATGTGTCAGGCAACTTTAGTAACAGTAAGTGCCCCCCTCTAATACTGGTCTGCTTAAAGGCACCAGTGACTGATATTAATTCCAGACCTGGCTGTAATGGATAGTGTCCTCAAATCCTCTTCAGGTTAATTGAAAAAGTACTTCAATGCATTTATAGAGTCCAGTATCAGGAAAAACAGAACCTTTTCCCCAAACAGTTATCCCAAAAGTAAAGGCTGAGCAAATACAGGCTTCAGTATCTAGGGATTTTTCTTGCAGCTGGTTGTGTATATGCCTAGTAGATGTTTCATACCAAGGACTGGGTATGAAAAATGGTGATTGTCAGTGGGGAAAAATAAATAAATAAATAAATAAATAAATAAATAATAATAATAATAATAATAATAATAATAATAATAATAATAATAATGTATGGAGAATTGCTTATGAGGGAGCAAAAGGAAAAGATCTTTTCTGGCATGGGAGAGGATTGAAAAAGCTGTATCTGTTCTGCATTTGGCTAGGACCATCATTTTTTCTCTTATCAGAGAAAAGTCTCTGATGTTCATTAATGGGATACAGAACAAAGAGAAAATGTATAATAATTTATGCATAGTGTTGTGTATTTATTTATTTTTTCTATTTCCCTGGATGTTTAGAAATCATTACATAGATTTCGTAAATCTGTTATATTAGCTTTCACTTTAATATTTTGACAGCACTGCCTGGACTTGCTTCTTCATAATACCTTGGTCAGACAAACTGTTTTTGAATGGAATTAGTCTCTGTAATCTAGAATTATAGCAAATTAATGCAGAAAACTCCATTTCTTGCATCACAAAAATTCAGTGTTTGTCTTTACGGTTTATAGATTGTCACCACCCTTCCTTAAGTGCAGTGTCACTCAGGATAAGTCCTTGTGTCCTTGTCATCAAAAGTAAGAGTTATACAAACAATAATTTGTTGGATTAAAATGCATTATTAATTTATGATCTAGCACATTATTGTTTACTACTGACAGTAGAGACTCCATTATTATAAATAATAAGAAACTGAAACATGATAGATAATTGGATGGCGATATAAGCTTTAACTCCTCATACACATAGCACAGTGCAGACCTTACACATAACACAGTGAAGACCTACACAGCAGTTACAACCAGCCATGATTATGATGCAGCCATCTGCCTGTATTGTTCCTCCTTCAAAAATTGTTTTCCAATACTGGTTAACACTAGTTCTCTCTGGATAGCATGCTTGCCGTCAACCACTCATTTCATCTTTAAGTAAACCACTGACTATTCCTCTCCTGTAAAGTCACCTCAAAAAACATTTCTCGACCCCCATTGCCCATTTGGGCTTTGGTCCTTTGTGGCCAGACCACATGTCTCCTGAAGATCTAGGGCATGGACAAGAAACAGGCCTCAGAGAGTTGGAAATTTTTTGATCTAGCTGAAAGCAAGGTTGTGAAGAAGGCATGAAGCTCTAGAATAAAAGGGCAATTTGGCAAGCTCTGAAGTAGGAGCTTATCTCTCTATTCAAATAAAACAATTCATTAAAGGAAAAAAAAGGTGTCTGACAACTTTATGTCACTTGCAGGACTATTGTGATAAGGGACATCTCTGCCCCAGAAAATGTAAAATCTGGTTATTCCCTTTTTAGAGAAACCATTTTTATAATTGGCTAGAATAGATCTGAAAATTTCTGTGAAACCTATTGCACCTTTCTCAATCTAAAATAATCATACTATTATATCAGTTTCAATCTAATCTAAATAAAATAAGATTTACTTTAAATGTGAAATAAAATTATAGTCTCATTGCTTTACAGTCTTAAGACATCCAATTTAAAATCGGGGACTTTTTTCTGCAAATATTAATATGTGTCTCATTAACCTACCTTGATCATGACAGCATGAAGTATAAAGATTTTCCAGAAACATTAGGAGAATTTAATTGCCACTTTTGCTATTCCTATGGACCACTGGGAAACACTTTTTCTGGATGGCTCTGAAACAGACTGAAAAACTCCATCTAGATAAAGAAAATCTCTTCTAGAGGGATTGCCTGAAAGACAGATGGACTAGCACACTCTTTTGACTGCTATTGTTGTCTGACAGTTGACGATAAATACAGACTAAAAAATAAATTTTAAAGTGACTTTTGCTTACCAGTTGAACAGAAAATAGCAGGCTGGTATAGAATAGAAATAGTAAATGGGAGGCATACGTGGGTTTGGAACTGTAAAGATCCCCTGATAGGAGTGGGCAAGCAGTTTCATTCCAAGTCCAAACAACCTGAACTCCAGCTATATAATTATGTTTGGATTTGGTTTTTTTTCTGCCCGTAATATTTTGTTTGGCTTCTGGACTGTTTGGAAGTTAGAATTTCTTCTGCTGCCTATTTACTTATAACATTCAGTGTTGGCAAGGCTGATGCATTTCTGAACTGTGGAACACTCTAAATTCCCAAGGATACTTGAATACCATCATTGTCAGTAATAAAGTTTAGATATTGTGGGTAATAAAAGCAATTTCAGTAATGAGAGGCTCATAATATATCAGTCTTGTGTCTTTCTGCTTTGTTTGATTGGGAGCTAATGGGTGGGTCAGCAAGTATTTTCTGTGAAGTAGCAAGCATTTGTCCTAGTTATTATGGAGGTACAGTAGTGTCACTAATAAAAATGATTCAATGATGATTCAATGCTCTGCTAGCTTGCTGTGGCCTAAAAGCAAGGTTTATATGCTAGTTTGCTTGATATTTGGTTGCAAATTCATATCTACTCCAAAACTTTTTAAAATTCCTTATGAAACACAAGACCCGGAGCAGTCCAATGTTCCTATCAGAGAAAAAATCATTGTCACCACCAGAATTATCTCCTATAAAGCAAAAATACTACAC